CTGTTATAAATAATTATATCCCAAGTCTCCCGGAAATAGCTTGCGAATAGTGAAATAATTTTTCAAATCGATTTGGTAGCCTATTCAATGCAAACAATCAAATTTTCTCTTTATTGCTACTCCTTATTTGTGGCGAAAGAAGTCAATAATTACAGTATGTTTTTGAAGAATTCTTTCTTTAATAAAAAGCGTAACGTAAGTTTAGGGCACTTGCGTCACGCTTTAGGCTGTATGTTTTACGCTATTAAACTTAGGGGGTAAATAAATTGGATAAAACATGTGTTGGAAAGGGACCATAAGCTACAAGCTGCCAACATCAAGGAAGTAAGATTGCCATGGTTTGTCATGTAATGTAATGTCATTTTGACATTTGCAATTGATGATTTTACAAATGTAAACATCTAAATAATATTTTCATAAATTCATGCGGATGAAGTCGCACGGGAACAGCTAGTCAGTATAGAAAAATGGCATCGCTTATACGGCCTGTTCTACACCAAAGTAATTCTACTAGTAAAAAGCGACAAAGATCACATTTCCCTTAGATTTATGAGCGTTGCGGGCTTATTTACTTTTGTTACGCATTTAGAACTCAACGACGCGGTAAATAAGATCATATACAAGTAATTTAAAAAGCTAACGAAGCAGCTAATGAAGCTAGCAAATAACATTCGTGACGTCATGACCTGAGCGGGTTCATTTAGCCAGAATATTGTGCCATTAGTCAGCCTGACCTGATCGTATGCCTCGTTACCATTTCTAATTATACTATACAAAGTTACTTTGACGACACACTTGTATGTAGAATTGTATGTATACTAGCTTTTGCCTGTGACTCTGTTCGTATGAGATTAAAAAAAAAGTGGCCTATGTGTTCTTCCAGACTGTCCTCTGCATCTATGCCAAATATTATCGAGATCTGTTCAGCAGTTTAGGCTACAAACTCTAACAACTATCCATCTAGACTTTCACAATTATAATATTAGTAATATGGTTATGTTAGTTAGGTTTTCACTGTCGAATACTGGTTCAGTCAACCTTCTTTTTAATCCTTTTGATAACCAAGTAAGCAGGGAAAAAACATGTTTGTATTACTTTAACCTCAATTAGAAGCAATCTTGGGTCACATCCTTATTAGTAGATGACAACAAATTTATTACTTTGTCATTTCATTCAATAATTTTTACAAGTTTTCCCGAACTACCGTTATTCAAAGATATTTTGATGATAATATCCATTAGATCAGTTTTGTGTCAACGTAACGAGATATAGAGCGAGGCGGCAGTCTCTTTGTTGTTCATATCAGTGACAGCAGCCGCGGGCGTTTTACCAAAAGTATTAAAGTCATCTGTTACAGTTCCTCTAGCTATTTATTATAGATATTTTAAGAGTTTTTACTGAAGAAAGAAGCTTATAAAAGTGCCTTATACTGTTTGAAAAAAAAAACACAGAGTGACATATTTTTGTACAGTTGATCTAGTGATGGGACTCACTGCAGATACCAACCAGTGCTAGGCGTGGTGGACTATGGCCAAGTCACATTAACTTGGGTAAGCTCCGAGCCCTTCGAGAGCACATAAGATAGCAGCATAAGGAATCCATATTTTTGCTCTCTGTAACTAGCACGTTCGGTTCATTTGAGGAGACCTTCAAATAAGAGACACCTGTTTCTCGATAATAGTGCTTTGAATTAGTTGACGAATATTTTAAATCGTTTAAATTTTTGAGTCACACGTAACACTAAATACAAGAGTTAAATTGTTTAAACTTTTGTAAGAAATTAATAAACGGCCAGCACTCAAGACTATTTTAGGCGACCCTCGATGGGTTAGAAACTAGTTGATGCCGCGACCGGAAAAATAGACTTGTGTGATAGCCGTTTAATAATTAGTTAAACCAACCACTAGAAACTTCATTCGTACAAGTCTTAAAGCAGGAAAATACCAAATTAAAAAACCTTCTTTGCAGATGGGAGACACGCGATCTGCAGATGTTTTTCTTACAAAAGTAATTGCACCAGCATAGTGTGAGTAAAATCTGTGAAAGGATTTTGGCAAATGCCGCACGGCTGTCTCGGTTCGTTAGATGAGCTGGCGTCGGGGCACGGCGACTGGAAATCAATACGTGTTTAGCGTAATCAAACGTTTAGCAAATATTTATCTCTTTCGTGCCAGATCCTTTTCAATTCTGTTTGGATTTTCAATTGAATGTTGGAGTACTATTTCTAGTGAACAGAATTACGCCTAATGATCATCATATAATATAAAAATGATTAGGAGGATAAAGCAAATGATTTGGATAGTCCAAGATCAAATATGCAGACCTTTATCTTTATTTCTTGCCAATTACGTTGCATCTTTAGTAAACCTCACTCTTTCTCTCTCTCTCTCTCTCTCTCTCTCTCTCTCTCTTCAAACTCATAGTCTTCTATGATAGTATGACTGTTTATATTTTCGTTTCTTATTTAAACAACATTTATGTGGTTTGATTATACATGTACACCGCCCCGTTAGATCTGTGTGTAACGAACCGATCTACTCGGCGTATTGAACATTTTTTGCCCAAATACATCTTACAGTGAATTTGTTTTATGCCCAAACACTACAGCTACTGGCAGAATGTTTTTTTTTTCTTATATGTAGGCTTACTCTATGCCCATGGCGAACACCGAGCACTGGTAGAGCGGCCATTTTGTTAATCGAGTCAGTTCCATTTGAGTCGCGATGAATTGCGCGCGCGACCATGTGTTCGGTGGACGTCAATTCAATATCTTAATCGAAACATATCGTTATGATCTATAATTATTTAGTGGAAATATGAATTGTGATATTGAGGATTACGACTACACTAATTATCAAGATAACTATTTTATTGAAATACCTAAGTACCACGCCTACAAGAAAATGTCATAAATCACCCAATATTACCTGATGTTAGTCGAAAGACTTCATCAGAAGTGGGATTCGATTTAACAAATTATCCTCTGCGTCGAGTACAAGGTCATCTACTACAAATCAAGAATATTTTCGACATTATTAATTTCGAAGATGACGAATGGATCGTATTGATATACCGAGTACCAGACCCCGTGTCTCGGTTTTATAACAGGTTACAACATGCAAGTTTCATTACGGATGAAAAGGATTACAACTAATGTAATATTAGACGGCTATGGCGACACGACTCAAAGGAATTATTCAACCACCGCGAAACTTTTTGTGTCTCAATTTTGGATTATGGCAGTACCAATTGCAGCTCCGAGGATTTTACAAGGTCATGTAATATTTCTATTATATCGTAAAGTTATTTTATTGCGAAAAAAAAACAGTCAAAATGGCCGCTCTACCAGTGCTCGGTGTTCGCCATGGGCATAGAGTAAGCCTACATATATTTAAATTCTGTTTGTTATAGAAAAGTTTTCTCTGAATTTTATAAGGTAGTAGCACGGATTCTAACGTCAACCTTGTTCCCAAGGAGGGTTTTCACAGTATGTACCGCTTTTTCATACAAATCTTTAGAGAGTCAAAAAAATGTAAAAAAGAATGAAGCCACTACGAAGTACTTTTACCATTTCGATGATTACTACCCTCCGGATAGCCAGATCATCTGGCGACGCGCTTGGAAAGGTAAATTTTTGCAATCACGACGTCTCATTTATTTTATACCTTTCTGTCCTCACAACTACGTTACCTTAAACAAACCGTCAATGAGTAAATGTATGTTAAAAAATCTATATTCACAGTATAAATGCCACAAACATCGGTAGCTAATTAACATCATAAGCCTGTGAGGTTTACGTTCGCTCACGTCGCACGGCTTTTGATGAATGTGACATGGATTTAGATAAGGCGTTTGAAAAAACGTTTCCCCTAAAGTAGGCGCTTTGTTACTTCAACCGGAATCAGTTTAGACATTTTCGTGTTTATAGCTTTAGTAACATGGTTTATCTGTGAAAAGGAATTATGCGTATAAAAACAGTATTCAGACCGCGCGCACATCTGAAACTATTTCACAACTGTGACTTGCTTTGATTCCTATGAGATTATATGGAGGTGCGCACACTACTCGATTTTTTGCGTTAAACAAGTGAATTGGCCGCGAAACAATCGACAATCGCACAATTGTTGTGCGATAGTTTAGTAGTCAAAGGTACGCCCGCTCTTAATGTTAATTATTGAAAGTTATTTGACTTATAAAGGACGAATTTTAAATAAGACAAATGTATATTCCGCGATATTATAGCCGTGGCTTTCTACTTTTAATCATGAACGAAAATATAATTTTTTCACATTGATTGACTGATGACGTCACCCATAATTAGAATAATTTTCCCTTAATAAAGGACTATCAACTCGTTCTATGTCAGCGTTGACAAGTTCTATCCTCCCGCAACTCCGGATAGACTCAAAATTCCTCAGTAGGAGCATAAAGTTGTAATGATAAAAGAATAGTAATTCAATTGAACAGTGTTATGTTTATATATCTAGTTCTCAATATACATACTTGTTATACGTCACTACAGAGTTGACAATGGATGTTGTGACGTCATGCGGAAATAGAAACGCTTGTGCCGTGCTCGAGGGACGACACCGGAACTGACCTACACGATGTTATGTCGCCTCTATTGAAACTGAATGTACCTATGTTATTCTATATTTATGACGTCACTAACTCATGAAATCGAGCTGTATGATAGGATAGGATATCTCTTTGACTACCAAGAGTAACCCTTAATAAGAGAAATTTTAGCTAATTGAAAGAGTCAACTACATGATTAGTAGTATGGCAGTTAGTGGTCAACGTTTTTCGAATTATTAATATTAAAACAAAAGCTAAACGAAACTAATATTACGAGTAGACCAGCACAGAATAACCAGATTTGAGGTACAATAGTTAAACGTAATAATATTTGCACATAGAAGCATTCAATGTTTAACAATTCCTTTTCGTAACAAAGATGGCGCCACTTTCACAATCACTAACCATCCAATCTTTTTCAGTTTTGACGTGCGCGGGCGCAGCTTCAATAAAGCGCTGCACTGGTCGGACCCAGCCGCGTTCGGGAGAAGGGCGTACTTCGTCACCATGTCACGACCTTCGTCACTTAACGTGGAGGCAGTCCAGCTTGATGACGAGGGCATCTACCGCTGCAGGGTCGACTTCAAGAACTCACCGACAAGGAATTTTCAGATACGCCTCAACGTTGTTGGTAATTTCTTTCTTGATTAATTTATTGCACAAAAAATGACCACAACTTCTATCTTTATCGTCATCTTGTCTGACTCAAAAGAAAAATTTAAAAAAAACCTTTTATTAAAACATCCTGCTAATTACGAATCTATTATAATCAGTATATTATTTGTGCAGTGCCGCCCCATCAATTGCTGTTGTATGACGAGAACGGAAGAGACGTGGCGGGCGTGATTGGACCCTTGGAGGAGGGCGGCAACTTCACATTGCTCTGCGAATTGAGAGGCGGTAAGATAAAACTCTTCTCTTATTATCAACAGTATGTTCTCGTAATTCATAGTCGATTTTAACTTGTTTAATATGTGAAAGTAAGTACAAAAGGCAAATATTTATTTCAATTAAAAACAGCGCCATCTTTCGCACAAGGCACGTCATTAGATTTGTTAGTTAACTTTTTTATGAATTAACAATTTAAAGCGTAGTTATAATTACAATTGATTAGAATAATACAATAATTAATAATAATTATGTAGTCGCACACGTATTAGTTGCCGGATGCTTGTTCTAACAAGCAACATAAATTTGATCCGCCGGGTGCCTCGAGACCGGAGATATTATAACTTAACTGGGCTTTATAACCTCAAAGGTATAAACTTCAAAGGTTAAGCAAACATCGAATGCAATATTATTTATTTGAATATACAAAATACATTTTAGGCAAGATAAACATAAAAATTACCACTAAAACTAATTTCTCCTTAACTCTAGATACTATTAACCGATTTCTGAAATTCTTTCACCGTTAAAAAGTTACGTTATCACTAAGTAATATAGGCTATTTTTTATAGGCTATTACTATTTTTTTAATATCAACAAATATCAACAGTTCTAATTATAAAACACTAAGTTGATAGGCAAGTAAATATCTGAAGCCATTGTGAAAACGTTCAAGTTGTTTAAATAGCAAACATTTCCAATGTGTCTCGGAATGTGTATTTTGGGTTCTCATCGGCTATAGTTCGGGTATATTTTAGTTTGCGGGTGTGACGACGAATGTTAATGTCTTGGGACACCCTGTTTATGTTTGTTCGTAGTTGTAGACAATTGTGTTTGATATTATATACTAAAACAATATAGTTAGTGGTTATGTTTGACCATTGTAAAGGACATATAATTATGATTTATATATGTACCTTTCTTACTTTGTATATATTAAAGCACAATACAGTCAGTTCTAACTGAACACATGAACTGTTTAGTTGAAACTGTGCTTGTTTAGGCAAAACTTTAATTGTATTTTATTGTTTATTTTATTCTTTATTTTATTGTTTAAACTGAGCGTATGTATGACCGGTTTCCAAGCTATATTTCACCATTCGTAAGTGTTTTGGTTCGATGTTTTCATGAAATGCGTTTCTGAACTGTAAGACTCGAGTTTTACTCTGTTCAAACTTAGAAGAATCTAACACTAATGAGTCACTATGTAATCTATACTTCTATACTCAATATAATAAAGCGTAAACATACTTTGTGGCGTAAGATGTCAGCAATCACAGCATATTTTTGAAGAATTATTTTTTTTAATAAAAAGCCTTACACTTACATCACGCTTTAAGCTAAATATTTTCACGGTATTAAACTTAGAGGGTTAATATTGGATAAAAAAACCCTAATGTGGGTAAGGGGCCATAAACTACAACCTGCCAACGTCAAGGAAGTAAGAAAGCCATAGTTTGTTATTTTGACATTTGCAATTGATAATTTGGCAAATATAAACAATGAAATAAAATTATCATAAATTCATGCGGATGAAGCTGCATGGCAGCAGCTAGTGAAATAAATGGAAACTTCTGCAACCCTACAGTAGTGCGTTAAGCAATATTAACTATTATTTTAAATGTCCGATAAATGTTATAGGATGTTTCTGGAACGATTTCCAAAGTAGACGTCCTTCGTATGATGACTTATCAAATAGAACACAAATTGCAAACACAAAGGCCGGCCAACTTGACATGAACGGAACGTAAAGAGATTCAATTTATAAAATGACAGATTTCAAGAAAACATCAAAGGAATGAAACAACAGAGGCCGCATGGAAAGGAAGGGTGCTTTGTACTGCGGTGAAGGAAAGAAAATTGCTTTTTGTTATAAATTTCGATATTTTATTTACCTTTGTTATATCAGTTAATAGGTTAGTAACTTTTAAAACGAAATCATTAAATTACCACTAGCTGTCGCCCACGATTTCGCCCACGCGAAATTCTGTAAAAGCTTTGTAAGTAGTCTACGTGTTCTCCCAGACTATGCTCTACATCTGTGCTGTTAAGAGATTCGTAGTGACAAACGTCGATATATCATGTCAAAATATACCAATTTTTCGCATGTATAACCCTAGAATAAAAAAAATAATTAGTTACATCTTACTTAAATCGTCGACCATAGAAATTAATGTCATACAATGGTAGTAAATATATGTTAGTTAGGAGCCAAAATTACTTACACTATGTAGTTTGGGCTTTTGAGCTCGACATATCGGGAATGGTGGGCAATCTTGGTCACATCTCGACCTCTAGATTGTGCCCTTTGTGAGTCCGTGAAAATGATTCGTGTTATTTTATATTTTTCTGTATGAAATGTTACTGGATGTCACGTATATTTCGTAATTTATTTTCACTGTACAGAATAAGTGAAAAATTGCGTGTAAATGGTATTTTCAAACCTTAATATATTCAATTCCATATTAAAAATATGTTACACTTAGTGTTAGGTCTCAATGTAAACGGGCCATTCTTCATTTTAATGAATGTTTGAATGAAACGTAAAAATAAATTAATGTCGAAATATAAAAATAATGAAATTCAAAATCGTGTCATAACTCGGTACTAGCGACATCTATTGACGAACTTATTGTATGAAAAGTTCGACGCTGAACAAAATATCGATTTGCTAACTACTTAGATTATAGTTTAATATTGTGGTGTTAAGAAAGATTACCTACATAATTTCTACCCATCTAGTTTTTGATATAAGCCACTATATAAAATAGTCTGGGCGTCTGTCCTGCGACTTCGCTTCCGTCGTTTGTTATAAATTTATTTTCATTACCTACGACAACAATGGACGTCCAGTGCGCGTTCATTTTTATTTTACGTTGAACAAAAGTTACGAGTCTGTAATTTACTTTAGCGAGTGCAATAATAGAGGTACATTTATTTTATATGTCGTGTGTGTTTGTGATAGTACACAGAACTGCATTAGCTTTGATCATCTCGAGTTAACACGATACAAAACCACATTAAAAAGTTGCAGTGGTTATTACACAAAAATACTAAAGTCTTGTCAATGTATCTTAATAGCCTTTATTTTATTTTGATCTAAAGATTTAGATCCTTTTTCATACTAATTGGTATCATACATACTTTTCCATACAACTCTCTCAGCTGTAATTTATATTCACACGTCTTAAGCATTTTATCTTTCTTTCTCTATGATATTTCTCCAATCTATGCTTGTCTTAAAATTTCTAAATGACACAAACGTAATTTATTTCTGTATAAAGATATCATCGAGGTAAATTAAATCTCTAGCAATGTGAAATATAATTTAAAAACCTATTAATTGTAATGTTATTTCAAAGCAATTTATGAATTGTAACAAAATTCGACAACGGTTAAATTAAAAGACAACTCGAAAACATTAAAAAAATATGACATAAAAAAATGTAAACACAAAGGTAAAATGTTAAGTTGACAGAAACAGGAATAAGAAGATCCAATTTATCAAATGACACGCCACGCGGCAACATCAAAGGGCCGAGACACCGACGTAAACAAGTCGGAGGGGACTTGACTTGAGCCGTCCGAGCCGACGGAAAGACGATAATATTTCCGGTTCAAATCATACATTTCGAGTTTTACACGTTGTTGAAATGTGTCACTTTTGCAACTTTGGGCTTCCACTGTTTAGCAATGTACAGTCGGGGAAACTGGCGGTGTTCCACTTTAAAAGCTACAATCGTTTGAACATTTTGAAACGAGTCGCGGAACATGAATCAAAACAACGCAGCTTATAAAAGTCATTTAGTGATACAATGCTAGTTTCTTTTTATTGTAATCTCTTTTTGCACTCACTGATATTTTTTTTATTTCATCTGCAATCAGTCTTTAAAACTTTAAGCAAATGAGAGGAAACATTGGAATTATAAAATTTTTTCTCCATTGAGAAACTTCTTTTACAGAAGACCCTGACTGATGTTATCGTTACATAATAGTGGCCCGTTTGAGTATGGTATCTAAATAGTTGTTTGTACGAAGAGACGAAGTTTGTCTCCTTGCAATGAACAAGACATTTTATCCTGGAATGGAATACCGCGGATTTGCCCGACTGTACTTGTTGTTGAAATTCTCTCTAACATGTTAAGAATACATATAATAATTTATTTATTCCAAAGCATATGTTACGCTAAACATAAGCACGTACAGATTAAACCAATATTTACGAGGGCACATAAAGTATTCACCTGCTTCATGCTGATATGTAAATCAATTTGTATTATGGTGAAAGCGAAAATATATTAAGGAATAAATTAACTATACGAGTGTGTGAATAAAAATGGTAGTAGGAGATAATGGCAACACAATTAAAAACAAAATCGATCAAGAATCTCGTCTCAAATTATTATAGTAAACCTATAGAAGACAGAAATTTAAAAATATCACGTTCCACGGTTTATAAAAGTCAACATGAAGAAGTTATGTCGTATTTTATGGTTTAGGATTCTCAGGTTTTAATCAGAAATTTCATACGTATTTATTCACATGCAGGACTAATAGATTACAAGTCAAATGTAAACCTCGGAGCTACCGCTTACAAAGATTTGATTACCAACTTGATTCAGAAGTATTCAAGAATGTTTCCCATATCCTTTGAGTGAAAGCTATTCGTACCATAATTCTACGCTTCAATACATATCCCATTGAGCCAGCCCTCGACTTTTTCCATGGTGTATTGATTTGCTTTCAAGTCTATCTCGAAGTAGGTCGAGCGGTAAAGGTTAGGTGAAGGTATATTTGATTTGATGAATTATTTAGTTTCTTCGTGCTGTTATAACCATGCAATTTCTTTTACATATTATAGGTTAACTAAGAGGCAAGCGGCCACCGGAATACTCTGATATAGCGAAACAAGTGGATGCAAAATGAAAAGAAGTTTCTTTCCTGCGTCATCTCCGTCAATTCCACTTCATTTTCAAATCATTTACTTGTAACAAAAGGATAAGACCGTGGATTAAAATTAAGACTCCAGCAATCACGCTCATCACACGAAACGAAAGGTTACTTGACGCTTGTCTTGTGTTGTCATGGTGCACTGGATGAGTCAGCAGTTCGTGCAACAGATCTGCACCACTACCAGTAACAATTTGCTGGTGTCTACCACTATTGCTTTAGTAATTACACATTGTTTGAACACGTAACAGTGGAATTCCACTACCGTAATGACAAATTGCAGTTTCTGTTTTGTTGAAGAGAATAAAAATGGATTAGTGTAAACGTATACGATAGCAGGAAAATTCTAAGCTTATCAATGAATTTTGATATACTTTAATTTGTAACTCGTTTGTATCAAATTGTGGCTATAAATTACACAGTCATCGTTTAATTTATACGTTCAATAGACGGAAGTAAACCAATATCTAAAATTTACCTATTAATATATCCGTATAATATTTTACACGTCAAAAATTGTATCGGTAGTTTTGCTTTCAGACTGTAGACACAATGAATCCAATCTTAGTAGCAATAAGCGACCTGGTTCGAACCGTATGAGGTCTGCACGATATAAATGATCTTTCAATTCCAGAAGAACGAACGTATTTTTCAAAGCAGTGTTACTTCGATAGTACTGAAACAAACGACGATCCGACTTCGTGAATACTCTTGGATTCAATTTCTTAGTTTAGAAAATGTTTTTTTTTTTCATAACTTTTAGTTAATAATTTTTATGTCCATAAAGTAGATAAGATACTTTAGTTTTAAAACTAGCTGTTCCCGTGCGATTTACGTTTGTCAAATTATCAATTACAATTATCAAAATGACATGACATGATTACAACCTTGCTTCTTTGATGTTGGCAGCAACATAGGGTTTTTTTCCCACATTAGGTTTGTTATCCAAAATATTTACTCCTAAGTTTAATGACGAGAAAATATATAGACTAAAGCGTGACGTAAGTGTAGGGCTTTTTATTACAAAACGAATTATTCAAAAATATGCTGTAATTGCTGACATCTTAAGCAACAAAGAAGTGTGTGTTTACGTTGATCTTATAATAGTATAGAAGTATAGATGAGGCTTTAGGATCATAACTTTATTTCTTACTTCTTAGTAATATTACAAGTGCTAAAGTTTGAATGGATTGAGGTATGTTTGTTAGAGTTTGTAGCCCTAACGGTTGGACGGATTTCGATGATATTTTGCAGAGATGTAGTGGATAGACTGGAATAATACTTATATCACTTCCTTTTTTTTAATTTATCGGGGCTAGAGTCGCAAGTGAAAGCTAGTATCTGTCATCCAATTGTGAAGCTGTTATTCACTTTATTCTTCCCAAGATGATCTTAAAGAAACAAAGTGTTAGTCTTCAGTTTTTGTAGCGTGTTATATTGATCTCTTTGCTGGCTGATTGAAGTAATCTAGAAAACTTTGTGACAGTTGGTATCTCTTAACCTAAGTTCTGAGCTCACCGCCTCGGAACGGCCGTATTGGATTTAGCAAGATTGGCTTCCACTCGCCCCGCTTGTTATCAAAACTTTTTAAACTCTTTCGAACCTCGTCTGATAGGTATTTGTGATTTTGTTTCGAATCTGTTTTGTTCTTCCATATTGTGTTACATTTTTATTTACATAATAAGTAACATTTAGCTTTGCTCTGCGAATAAAAGAAGAGCACAATAATTTAATAAACGAAGAAACTCATAGATATATTTTTATGCTGTCAACATTTTATAACAATAAAAAACACAAACAATGACAAGCTTATTTAGAAGAAATATTAGCTATGCCACTATTCAAATACTAATAATTAACCTTACATCTAGTTTAACACAGTATAATTACCAATTTTTGTCACCCAGGTCGTCCACAACCAACGCTCACGTGGCTGATCAACAATAGAACTATAGAAGACCATACTATACTTAAGAACGATGGCAAAGTGATTGTTAGTAAAATCTCCATCGGAGGCGCAGAGAGGAGCTGGTTGAACACGACTGTGAGATGTCAGGCCACCAACACTGCACTACTCAGTCCACATGAGAGGACGGCTAGAGTTGAAATGCATCGTAAGTAGAGTAGATTACATATTAATGAGCCGACTTCTAGATTTGTAAGCATTATACTGCAAGAAAAATGTGACCAATACGCCAGTGAGCAATAAATCTTATCTTAATATCCTTAAGACAGTATGCATAGGCCAGTTAAATATTTAATTTAAGTCTTTTTTCCTTTTCACCCTTTTCTTAAGAGCAAGGATGAGAAGGAAAAGCGGATTTGGCGACGGAGGAGACGCATAAAAGGGGGAAATATTCTGTTTATGTGCATTTCCTCTTCTATCGATAAAGGGTAGGCAACGCATCTATAATTCCGGATGCCTAGGGTCTGCGGTCGCTTCAACACTTGCTCGTTTGCCACCTTGTGGTACAAAAAATATCAAGTTAAGTGATAAGTTGTGGGATAATCAAATATAGTGCTAGCAACTTGTGCACCTGGTACTGGTATTCGAATTAAACCTTACTCATAACTTTTTTTTTATAATATAGTATGGCAAACGAGCAAGCGGCCATCTGAATCCACTGAAATGAAAAGCGTCCGCTGCCCATAAACATCCGCAATTGCAGATGCGTTGCCTACCCTTAGTTGACGGAGGAGGAGACGCACATAAAAAGGACATTTCCCCTTCCTATGCGTCTCCGCCATCGTCAAATCCACCTTTCCTTCCCATCCTTTCCTCTTAAGAAAAGCGTGGAAAGGGAAGGGAAAATTAGGCCTCCTAATACTTTTCCTCATAACTTTTCCTGGCAAGTAACTATTTATTTAGTGTAATAACATACAATATCTGTTCATTAGATCCTCATACATTTCACATCGTACTACAAAACTTTGTATAGCTGCAATTAAAGCTAAACATTCTAGTTTCAAATATAATGATGCGCTATTGGAACGTATCAGAGATGCTTCGGCAAAGGCAATTACCAGAATTAAGTTGCGCTAAAGCCGAGCACACAAATCGTGAGATACGAATTTGTCTTGGCACGTTTCTGTGCTCCTGATTAATGCAGCGAGGATTTGCAAAGACGCTTTGACTGGTTTACGGCTTGTTCGATACATTTCTAGATATTTTAATGCTCTAATTAAAGTTTTTTTTTAATTATTTCTGCAAAGTAAATTGCAATATTTTCCACAATTGAAAATATCACGTTGCGATGTGGAATAGCTTGTCGATGGTTTTTACAAACAATTGCGACTTAGGGGTCTTCAAGAAAAGAACGTAAATCTCCCATAAGGTCTGGATACTTCTGATATTCCTCTGGTGTTCGGAATGTGTTGGGCGTTGAATCAACTAATATCAGACGATTCTCTGCTCGCTCTCTTCTCCAATATATTTTTTTTTTACTATCCTGGATCAAAGTTACAGAATAGAAACCTGTCAAAACTTTTTTTTTATCTATGTAAGAAATGCCTGAATAACCTTTATTTAAGATCTTTATTCTCTTCTACAATCATTTTCGGTACATTTTAAGCAATTTGGTTCCAATATCTTTCAAATGTTTTCCAATTAAATGCTAGTGAAGTAAATGTTCTTATCAAATCAATCATTTCATGTATATCTACTGTAGTATAATTTTAATTTGTGTATCCTAAGGTAAATACGTTCTGCTTAATTATTTACGTAATTCTGTCGAGGTATCCGCGTATCTGTACATGTCTGGTACTAAACTGCAACACGTTTAATGGTATAAGCTTCCAAGTAGTTAGTGTCTCGAATGGATTTATGTGCATTCGTGTAGGAGATTTCCTGTACACCGACTCATTTGCAAATTTACTACTTGCTTAACTTAGTTAAAACAGATTACTGTTTTCAATTTTAGATAATTTAGAGTATATCAGTTTCTTGTGACAGGATTTTGCTCAAGAGCTGCGGCAATTCTTTGATGTAGATTTATTTAAACGAAAAATTACTTTCTTTTCGTAATGCTATAAAAATCATTCATCGATGAACACTCCGCTATTTAAGGAACATTAGATAGTCACTTACTTGTTTGGCAATATTTGACTTCTGACTAATATTATAAAGAGAAAAGATTTTTAATTTTGGAAACATTGAAATAACACAAAAACTACTGACCCGATTACAAAAATTCTTTAACCATTAAAAACCTACGTTATCACTAAGTAACATAGGCTGTCTTTTGCTATTTTTTTAATTGCACGTGCATAAAAAAATGGCTTTAAAATATTATTTTGTTTTAGTTCGTCCAACATCAGTGTACATAGTTGAGAAGCCGATACAAGTCTCCGCGGATACGGAGGTGACCCTCGTGTGCGTGTCGCACGGCAGTCGTCCACCCGCACAGATCACATGGTTCAGAGAGAACAGGAAATATACCAGGGGAAAGGTACATAAAAAAAATAGATTATAGTTGAATTATTAATCCACCTTTTTCATATATTGTACTGAGACTTAGAAGGGAAAGATGAAATTTAAACACTTTTTTTTAAGATTCTAACTTTTGAAGGCTTTGTACAGTCTCGGAATTTAACAGTGTCCTTCAGGAAAAATTGCCTTGTTCATTGTAACGAGACAAACACCGTTACTTTCTACAAATAACTAATTAGATAGCAGTGAGTGCAAACGAAGGAATAAGAATAAAAAGTAACTAGCCTTGAATAACTAACCAATTTTTTTTCATACAGACATTTTATAAGCTGCGTTGAGTGACACTTTTAAAGTGGAACATCGCCAGTTTCCCCGACTGTACATAAAACATTTAAACAAAGACTTTGTCAAATCTAATTTGCGTTAGTTATAAAAGTTAAGAAGTAATTAAACATCAAAGTAAAAATAAAAAATAAGACATTTTAAAATTTCAAAGTAGTGTTATTATTAAATTTGTTTGTAGAATACGGAGTTTTCGAACGAGACGTCAACAATAAGCAGGCTGACAATGCTTCCTCAGCCGGAAGACGACGCGGCGGTAATAAGGTGTCGGGCGGACAACCCCATTCTGAGGGTGGCTTTAGAAGATTCTTTCAGGATGAGCGTAGTCTGTAAGTGCCTTTAATAACGCTGATTTATTTTGTATATCCCGTTTTTATTTTATTTTTAGTTCAATATTGGATAATTTGAAAATTCTCGCTTCTAACCTTGAAATTACTTACATATTTATCAACTTCTCGAGCGTAATGACACTTTCAGTGACTTATTTTGTTAATTGTTATCGCTGAGTGGAGATATCTCGTACCAAATCTTCACTAAGCCTTAAAGTTTTGGAGTTAAAGTGTTACCATAGCTGGTGAAAATATAAAACAATTGAAAATCAAATCCAAGATGGCTTCTCCATTTGTAGCAATATTAGCACCCACTGCGGTGTTAACCCTTTATTTGACGGTGTTTTTTTTTGTAGGAAAAACACTGATTTTTTAGTGTTAATTTTTTAGATAAAATGTGGTGATATGAATAAATAGTTTTTTTAATAGTTGTTCATCACACTGGACACTATCGTACTAAGGTTTAGTGAAAGATAATGAGAAGTTTCTCTCACAGACAGGCCAGTTCTCACCATGTCACTGGGCAGTACACTCAACCCCAATGACATAAAGGAGGGCGACGACGTGTACTTTGAGTGCAACATCAGAGCAAACCCGAAAGAGCATCGCATCTCCTGGTATCATAACGTGAGTGAGTTAACACAGATATATTCGCACAACTATTAACACAATAATAAGAATACGTACCTGTACTATTATTATAAATAGAAAAAAATGTATTTTTGGATTTTGTACATATTAAAATAACTTAAAAATTTCAATACAAAGCTACAGTTTCACTGACTAACATACATACATAAGAACGTGTGAATTAAAAAAATGTAGATTTATTTCAATTTCACGCGGACGAAGTCGCGACCAACAACTAGTCTATACTAATAATATAAAGAGGATATTTTGTATTTTATGATTTTTATATGTATTGAAATAACTGAAGAACTATTGAACCGATTTCAATTCATATATTTCATACACCATTAAAAAGCTATGTCATCACTGAGTAATATAGAATATTTTTTTTTATTCACGTGGATGAAGTCGCGAGCAGCAGCTAGTTTTAATTGAAATTCGAACCGTACTTTGCTTACTGTCGTATTGCAGCAATAGATCAAATAACATTTTAGTTTCCATACACAAATATACGGATTCTAAGAGAAATTAAAATCGTTTTACTTAAAAATATATCCAACTAATGTTTTGTTACCCGCAAAATTCAACTGGGAAAGGTAAAATTTCAAATTTAACCGAAATAAACGGCTTATTTCCGCCGTGAAATTTCCCGCTAAACCTCCGATCCACCGAATAGCGTTGCGGTTTAAAACAAGGAACATAAAATATAATCATGTACAAAATACTGCGTCCGTTGCCGGCGGTGCGCAAATTGGCCAATATTTCTCAAGCATTCGAGGAGTAGACCTTTGAATACACCTGAGCAAAAATCAATACGCTATTGTTAAAGCGGGCGCACACCTTTGATCAAACTATAGCACAACTGTTGTACGATTGTCGATTGTTTCGCAGACAATTCAACTGTTTTGTTGCACAACTAAAAATCGAGTAGTGTGCGCACCTCATAGCAATCAAAGCGCAACTAAACAGTGGTGCAATAGTTTAATCAGAGGTGTGCGCACGTTCTAACTCTTAGACTAAAGACTCGGGTCAAATAATGCCAAAATAATACAAAATGTAATCCTAATTGATTTGGGGGACGGAACATATCTTCCCTCTGTAGGTTATTTTCTCTGTCCATTAAGATAGGTAACGCACGGACAACCTTTCAACTCAGAAATAATTCATATTGTAATAAAAATGAACGTTATTTTGCATTTCAAACATGGTTCATAGATTTTTCATTACAATATCAGCACAATTTCTAGGACCAGCAAGTGACACAGAACATGTCCTCCGGTGTCTTCATTAGCACCAAGTCGCTGGTGCTGCAGCGGGTGATGAGACGCGACGCTGGTCTCTACACCTGCAGGGCAGCAAACCAGATCGGCGAGGCCAGTAGTCAGGCGGTATATCTCAGAGTACAATGTACGTATTCATTAATAGTTCCAAAAGTTTATCTTCAGATTACTATATGTACGTCCCCAGTGAGGGGCTTGGACCATACCCTAACTGAGAGGTGCCTAGACCATAGTCAACCACGCTGGCACACTGCGAGTTGGTTGACTTCACATATATTTTTGAATTTCTTCTCTGATAGGTGAAGGTTGCGTCACGATGATTTCCTTCATCGTAAGAACGTCGGGTAAATTATGTACTTATGAAATTCTAAACTAGAGTATATTCTTATTGAGATAAAACTTCTAACAGCAACTATTCCTTTAGATGCACCAATTTGCGAGCAGCCTTCACCTCTACTGATCGGTGCGAGATTCGACGAGTCTCTGCGCGTGCGGTGCACTGTGAGCGCGGACCCCGCTGACGTCAGCTTCTACTGGCAGTTCAACAACAGCGGCGAGAGCTTCCAAGTCTCACCCGCTAGATATGGTAACATATTTACTACAGAAATTTACTTTTGTTACAGCAAAGAGGTCAATTGTATCTAGGAAAACACTGATCTTATGATACCCGTAATCTATTGCCTTATCTGACACTGTTGATTTCTAAACAAAATGAACGCTCTAGTAAACTAGCTTTTATTTCTTAATATATTTCAACAAAATACTATAATTGCAATAAATTATGTGGTACGAGCTGTTGCCCGCGACTTTGTCTGCGTGGACAAGAAAACAAACTATATAAATTAAAAAAAAGCTACGTATCCCTCAGGAAGCGGACATTTCTCGGGGATGAAGCTTATCCCATGTGTACTCCAGAGTTTGTTTTATATCTGTGCCAAATTTCAGTAAGATATGTTGAACTGCTGCAGAATGATCGAGTAAACATTAAAAAACTTTAATGAATCCCACGGGAATCGTAACTATTCCAGGGATAAAAAGTAACAAACATCCATTCACCTATCCATCTATCCATCTAAACTTTCGCATTTATAATATTAGTAAGATAATAGCTTTTGCTCGCAACTCCGTCCGCGTGGACATAAAAAACAAAAGTGAGTACCCTATGTGTACTTCCAGACTATCCTTGTACATCTATACAAATTAATGTACTAATCTGGTATTCCAAACAGGTTTTTGTCCAGTAGTGGAGAGATAAAAGCTTGTGATAATGTTAATATATTTTTATCTAAGTATCGACGGGAGGCACAGCTAGCGAGCTGCGGTACCGCGCGGCGAGTGAACGTGACTACGGCGCCTTGCTCTGCCGCGCGACCAACGCTGTTGGCCGGCAGAAGAAACCCTGCGTCTTTCAAATTGTACCAGCAGGTAACTTTATAATAAGTTAAAGCGCGCAGACCTTTAACTAAACTATCGCACAACTGATCAGTCGCGCTTTGATTCCCATGAGCAAATATGGAGGTGCAGCAAATCCTCGATTTTTAGTTGTGTAACTAAACAGTTGAATTGGCTGCCAAATAATCGACAATCGCACAACTGCTGTGCGATATTGTAGTTAAAAGTTTGGGCCTCTGTAAACCCTACTTATTTATTACAAACCAGTAACTCTGAAGGCTCCTAAAACTTTTCAATATCAGTTTCCATAACCAAAAAATTCTGACTCAACTTTCCTTGTTAATTTTTGATGAGTTGTATAATAAAAATATGAAATCTAGCATTAATAAAAAAGTGTAGTTTTAATTTGTGGATTGATTTGAAAATGCAAAGTTTCCATTTTTCTTTATGTCTTTATGTGAAAAATTGGATATCATGTAGCACCAACCACTTATATAATACTACTTTAGCCCGCGACTCCGTCCGCGTGGAATTAAAAAAAATAGCCTATGTGTTCTACCAGACTATCCTCTACATCTATACCAAATTTCAGCGAAATCTGTTAAGCCGTTTAGGCTACAAAGTCTAACAAACATCCATCCATCTAAACTTTCGCATTTATCATATTAGTATGTGGTATTTTAAAATTGATTAAATCGAATAATCAAAATGTCACTATACGGCCTCAATTAGCCTTAGTCAACCACACTAAATCAATGCTTGTTGACTTCACATGTAACTTTGAATTTCTGCAGCGGTTTATCGAATGTGATTCATAAAACTTTTAAATTATGATAGGGCTTACATTAGTGCCTTGCGGGACGCCCAAAAAGCAATATAAACATCCAACTAAGCAATCCGTTAGAACTGATAAACAAAATGATTAATTCCGGTAGCTTCATTAAAATGTGCCGGTATATCAAATTTCGCGGTCCACGGCTGAATTTCGTCGAATACGGTTTAAAATACGAGCGAAGTTTGCAACTCGGAGCAATCACGAACGCGTCCAATATGGAATGGGTAACGAGAAAACTTAGTACGTTCAACTTTCTACTTATCCATTTGGTTTCCCAACATGCGCCGAAGTCCCATTCAAGGAATATTTAAAATGTGTTAAATTTTATAATAGTTTGTCGAAATGCATAGAACACTTAATAAAATTGGAAATTAAAAAAGAACCTTAGGTCAATAAAAAAGAAAATAGGACTTTGGGACCTTTGTCATTTACTTTTTAAAAATTATCCTCAAATACTGAGGCGCTTCTGTCCACCCAGTCCATATTGATTGAAGTAACGATAAGATTCTTTACTTTAAAACTTATACTTATTCGTGTAGTAGATATAAATCAGAAATATCTTCTTTTATTAAAACATCTATTACTAAATTGTAAAATCTTTTCATAGCTCGTCCATCTCCACCAAAGAACTGCACAGCAAAGAGGATAATGAAGAATGGTGAAGTTCATCTCGCGATACAATGTACTGCCGGGTATGATGGTGGACTGTCACAACATTTCACTTTAGAAGCACTAGGAGATGCTGGAAGAATATTAGTTAATGCGACAGCTGAAAGAAATGGTGCGTATTTGTAAAAATAAATAATTCCAAGTTATTTGTCAGTTCAATTATGAAACTTCTACGGGTAAAATAAATTTCGAGAGGTCGTTTTTTCAAATTCATTCAAATGCGTGCAGGCCTATCTGTAAAGCATTTCCCTTTCCTGTTTTACTCTCTTACATGGATAACATGTTAAGGGTGCGTGGATTTGACGGTGGAGGAGACGCATAGGAAGAGTAAGTATCCTTCAGTGCGTCTTCTCCGTCAATTAAGGGTAAGCAAGCATCTACAATTTTGGATCTTAAAGGGTAGCTTAGCTTAGCTTCGCCATTTTGGCGGATTTAGGTGGCAGCTTGCTGGTTTGCCACCTTATAATAAATGAAGTTTAGAAATGAAATGACTTCTTCAATATTTTTAATAGAATTTATCTACTTGCTAAAGTGATACATGTAACCGTTGCGTCTAGTTAAGATAAGTTTAATTTTCTTCTAGATATGTCGGTATGGCTGAACATCAGTTTACTTGAGCTTGATACGTTAAGTGAAGACGAGACGCTGGCGATTTATGCTAGAAATAACAAAGGAGCATCAGATCCTGTAATACTAAGAGATATGGTTTACAGAGATGCCGCGAAACAAACAGGTATGTTATCTTCCAGAATTTTGTTTAAAATTTTCTCAAACTCAGCATTTATTAATCATCCGACGTCTAGAAGATCCTTACTAACACTGTGCTGGTAAAGCTCTTGTAAGTAAACTCCTAAAATTATCGAGTTCTTTCGGCCGCGACCCCTTACGCGTGTAATTAAAAAAAAGATAGTAAGTGGCCTATGTGTTCTTCCAGACCATCCTCTACATCCATGCCAAATTTTATAGAGATCAGTTCAGCCGTTTTGGCTACAAACTCTAACAAACATCCATCCATTCTTCTAAACTTTCACATTTATAATATTAGTATGATGATAAGATAATATTTGTTTGTTTAGAGAACACAACGCGGTCAGACTCAAAGTTCCCGGCCGCCGCGGCGTTCGCAGGTTTGGCAGCTTGTCTAACTGCGATTGCGGCCATCGTTGTCCTGGTATTAAAAAAGTAATTTATCTCTTATTAATTATTATCATCATTATTGTCATATTCTGTATCATTTCAATCATTAAATTAAAATTAATTCAATCTTACTTCTGTAATTAATTCTAGTTCTTTTCTTCTAGTTATTTTGTTTATGTTGTTAGCACCGCGTCTCGTCTAATTTTAGTCGCTTACACTTCCCGCCCTTTTCTTATAATAAAAGGTTGGGAAGAGAAAGTGGATTTGACGGTCGAGGACACGCATAGAAAGGGAAAATATCCTCTTTATGTGCGTCGTCTTTGAAAATTGCGGATGTTTATAGGCAGCGGTCACTTCGCCATTTTGGCACATTCAGGTGGCCGCTTGCTTGTTTGCCACCTTATCATATATGAAAAATTATCACCATAATTCTTTGGTACATTTCATTTATAGGTGTTACTTTAAATGCATTTAATTAAAGATTTTTTTTGTATCCAGGCGTAGTGATAATGCGTCAACTAGTAAGAGGCCATCGCAAAGCGTGGTACAAGTTGACGCTAATGGGAGACGTTACCTCATCGCGTATCCCGCGCCCGCTGACAAGATGGAGACCAAACCTGATATACTAAATCCTAAAGCCGGTAAGTTACATTTAATGGTTTATTTGTTTGAGATTTGAGAGAAAAAACTGCATAATTTGCAAAGATACTTAATTTTAGTTATGTTTAATGTAGAATACGTGAATGTTTATTGCATTTTTATTTTGATACGAATATTATAAATTCGAAAGTTGAGATAGAGATGTTTGTTAGTGTTTGTAGCCTAAACGGCTGGATGGATTTCGATGAAATTTGGTACAGATGTAGAGGATAGTCTGGAAGAACATCTAGACTCTTTGTTTTTTAATTCCAAATGTCACATTGTACGGAAAACATATTTAAATGAAGTCAAATCCTAAATCAAATAGATTTAATAAATTTTAAAATTAGGTCAGACGTTAATACATTATGCATCACTGAAGAACTTTCACTTTGGAAACTTATAATGAATAATTTAATTCAATTATACGAATTCATTTTAACTTCAAAATTATATCAGTTCAAGTCAAGATTGAATCTTTTATATGTTCAAAATAAAATCATTGATACTAAAATTTCTCACTTTAAAACGTAACTAAAGTATATTTATGATTTTTTTTAAATGTCAAAGTCATATGTTTCCGTTTTAAAAATATTTAGGTCACTAAACTTACTCAAATATAACGAAATCGTCATCGAAAAATCAAAAATACTTTAATTATAAAATTTGCAACTCCATATTACGGCAAAAATTAATGACACCACACGGTCGCTTGGGAGTTAGCGCCCCAACCTTAGGTCTATTGTACACTGTGTAGTAAGCGAGTGCATCGCTACTTTTGATCGTTGATTGATCGCCGATGTTTGAGACACGCAGTACAACACAGAATTTTTTACATTGTCCTACGCACTTTAATGCAAACTGACTGAAAAAAGACTACTTTAAATATATTTTACATTAGTATTAGTGTGTATTGTGATGAAAAATTACTTAGACATGGCAGTAGCGTTGTAATTTTATCGCTTACAACGCCTAAAAAATCGCATTATGCAGTGGACGATTGCCCTAACTTACCTTAATTAGTCACACTGTTTACGGCCGTGATTCATAACAGTAATTCGGCGAGTTAGGAAATTTATTAACACCTTGCCCTACTGGGCAAGGTCAACCCGTACTAATTCATTTCTCGCGTGCTCTGTGTCGGCATGGTATATATTTCAGACGGCATATTTAAGCCGATCAGCTGTTTAACTTTGACATTTTTTGGTCACTCTAATTGTGATCTAAGTAATATTTATAACATCGTTAAACTTATCTTCAATCTTCAGTCTAGGATTTCACCATAATGTCACGCAGGTTGTCTCTATATACTCAGGATGTTTGCTATAAATAATAAGATTTATCTCATCGTACCATCAGACAGCGAGCCCCCGCGAGTTGTGCTGGAATCCAGCGACAACAAGAGCTACACCATACGCGATGTCCACGGGGATGGCCAACCCTCTGCCCCCGCGCCGCAAGTACCCTACACCTCGCCGCCGCCGCACGACGACATCGTAAGATTAACCTATATCTTACTATAAATCTATTTAAAATTAAATCCGCGCTAGAACCTAAATTGATCAATCAATACTATTATAAAGAGGAAAGAATTATATTTTTGTATGTATTGAAATTACTCAAAATTCCTTGGTCGATTTCACTGTACCATCAAAAAGCTACGTCATCACTGAGTATAATTCTACGCGGACGACTTCGCGACCAACAGCTGATCGTAAATAAAAATGGCCTTTAAGCTATTGAAATAAGATTTAATGTTACTTCTCTGGATAAAGAACAAGTAAATTAAATTTATAACTTGTTTTTAGTTAGGTAAAACTCAATTTTATTTGCGATAAAAAAAAATCTGCTCAGCTCTACACTCCGATCTGTCTGTACAGATCCAGTTATTTCAAAAATATTATCTTTAAAAGTCTGCATTATCACCCTTTATCCTATTATTATAAACGCGAAAGTTTAGATGGACGGATGTTTGTTAGAGTTTCAAGCCGAAACCGCTTAACGGATCTTAATTAAATTGGGCATAAATGTAGAGGAAGGAAACATAGGCTACTTATCTATTTTGTTCTTATACGGGTAGAGTCGTGGGCTTAAGCTATATTATTTAACATAACTCAAACTCTGTTTATCACCAGGTGCCACAGAGATAACAAGAAGAATGGAACGCTGTCCTGTAAATAAATCATCCAAAGACTACCATTGTAAATTCCAAATATTGCCAATGAATTGTATTAAGTTATAGATCAATTCTTCCATATCATTTTAAAAATGTCCTATTTTATAGTGAGAATTTAAATAAGGTTTCTATTCATTGTGACTAAACCCCGTCGTACACAAGGGAATTTTACATAGCTCGCGACGTGAGTATCGCGTAGCGCGCTCTGTATACCAAGTACACAAACATAATTATATGAAAATGTATTTTGTTGAAATAGGTAAAACAAAATGATAACAAAAAAAGGACGAATCCTCTACACATGTTGTTTATTCGGTCAGTACAAACATAGCGAATAAAACGCGGATCATACTTGGCCTGCGTCCGGTCGCAGTTCAATGACAGTCCAGTTTTGAGCGAATTAACCAACTATAAGCCAAGTGTGAGCCGCGCACAAATACAAGTGGAAAGTGGAAAAGTGCGCTTGCATACCTTATTGTATTAAGTCGCTTCGAGACTAAAATCGACATTACAAAATTTTACTTAGCGTTGTGTACGAATGGCTTTAGTGCAAACTTTTTTGTCTTCTTAGGAGACACGATGTTTATTTTAATTAAAAAAAAACATCGGCAACGATAGTTTTTTGTTTCGTATAAACGCTAAAATTCCCTTCATTCTATTTGAAAGATAGCATTTTTTATGTGTTATTCATTACTTAGCAAATAGAAACCTCCTTTAAATGTATCTCGCTTCGAAGATTTGCATTATATAGAAAATTATTATATATTTAAGGTTAATTCTAATGTATGATTATAAACTATTAATGTTGATTCTTAAATAAAAAAAATCTGTTTTTTACAATTGTTTTTCTTTTCTCAATTCAATCTGTTTTTTTTTTCAAAAGTAATATCACTTAATACTAAAAATTGACTATAACATCTAGCGAAATATTTAGAACTTTATAAAAAAAAGATTTTGTTAAAATGGTAGACTTCAACTGGGACTCGAAACTGTCTTGTACGGCACATTTTTTTTATACAATAAGGTTTCAAACGAGGAAGCGGCTATCTAAATCCGCCAAAATAGCGAAGCGTCCGCTGCAAATACATATCCGCAATTGCTGATGCGTTGCCTACCCTAAATCGACGGAGGAGGAGACGCACATAAAGAGGATATTTCCCCTTCCTATGCTTTTCCTTCACCGTCAAATCTACTTTCCTATCCAATCCTTGCCTGACCAGACAAGGGTAGAACGGGAAAGGGACTAAAATTGGGCCAAATAATGCAAGCTAAAACTAATTATTACTTACTGCGTTGACGCAGTAACCCAAAGTGGGTCTTGGCCCCCGACACAAGAGAGCGCCAGCGTCGTCTGTCCTGCGTCGTCGTTTAAACTAATTATTAATAGTATAAAAAAATACGTAGAACTTATTAAACATCTTGTGTTGTTTTCGCATAAACCCTTTAGTGTAATCCGATTAACTTTTAATAGGATCCAATTATCAAGCTTAGTATCTCTCGTAAATAAACCTTTCCCAATTTTTCTTTAAAAAAATAACTAAAGAGTTTTCTTAAAAATGCTTCGTTAAGATAATTATTTTACGAGTTTAAGAAAAATCTCAAATAAACAGGGAATGTGGTAAGTAACAGACTAAATGTTTACCTTAGAGGTTAAAGTTACTAGCATACTTATTAGCAAGCATAGTGATGGAACCTGCTTACATCTGTGAAGAAACTCAGAGATGTATATTCAACTCTCACTGGGCCAGCATTGACGAGTAAGGTCGTTTCACTTATAATTAAAGCGTGGACGTCTATGGCCTGAATAGAAAGCCATACTAATATTATCAAGAGGAAAGATTTGTATTTTTGTCTGTATTAATTGAACCATGTATTCGTACTAGTTGTTAAGGGGATGCTGAAAACCAGCGCGGCCTTTAGTGACAAACTGAAAGTCGTATTAGCTAAACATTCTCCTTTTGATCAAGAATTTTTTTTTTAATTTAATTGATATATTTTGTAAGTTTTGTTTTTTTTTGTGTTTTGTTTTTTTTAATTAGATAATGTTTTGTTTTCATTTAATTGTTATTTAAATAACTCAAATACTACGGAGCAGATTTAGAATATTCTTTCACCAATAAATAGCTACGTTATCGCTAAGTAACATAGGCTGTTTTTTTTTTTATAACATAAGGTGGCAAACGAGCAAACGGCCACCTGAGATCGCCAAAATGGCGAAGTGACCGCTGCCCATAGACATCCGCAATTGCAGATGCTTTGTCTACCCTTATCAGACGGAGGAGGAGACGCACATAAAGAGGATATTTCCTCTTCTTATGCATCTCCTCCACTGTCAAATCCACTTCCTCTTTCCATCCTCTTTTTATAAGAAAAGGGTGGTAAAGAGAAAGGGACTTAAATTAGGCCTCCGGCACCACACTCATCAGACGAAACACAGAATTGTTTCCATTTCACGCCTGTCTTCTATGTGGTCGTGGTATTACATCGAGCGTGCCGGCCCATTCGTGCTAAGATGTTAAAGCGGGCACTACCACTGTTATATACTTTTTTTTATAATACAATTTTTTAATTTCACGTAGACAAAGTCGCGAAAGACTAGTGTCAGATATAAATAAACTGTATATAAAATAAAACGTGTGAGCCAAACACATGGTGAATTTACTCCAATAAATTCTCTTTTCATTCACCATTTAAATCTGTGATTGCGTGTTATTCATTTATAATGTTCATTTTATGCCACACTTTTAAAACCGGCTCGATATGAAGTTTTATAATAAATACGTACAACGTTGCGTCGACAATATTAAAATATATTCAGTTTTAAATTAAAGTAAAGAGAAACAAGCACAAAATATTTTGAAGCGAAAATTTTGTTTGAATCAAATTAAATTTATATAAATATCATGGGTTTTTGTAATTAATGTTCATAATAAAATTATCAATATTTATATAATACATTAGATATATTATTAAGAGGCTCAGGGATTTAAGCGCTTGACTTGGTGACTACAAATATTGGGTTCGAATCCCGCCATATACCAATGTAATTTTCGAATTTCACACTACACATTTTCCCGACGGTCTTACAGTGAAGGAAAATACCGTGATGCCTGCGCATATCGGCGAAGAAATTCTAAGATATGTGTGAAGTCAACCAACCCGCACTGGACCAGCTTGGTTGCCTATGGCCTATTCACTCAGTGGGAACGTATAGCGAGCTGGTGATGATATGATATATTGATTTAAAACAACATAATTAGCCTGTAGATTAACACATCATTAATCGGTCTAAGTAAAACTAGAGGGGATTTTAATGAGCGAAAACCCACATAAGCCTGATCCACTCCAAGAGCAGTTAAGATAATGTTATTTCAAAATTTCCCTCCGAAACCAAAACAAAGCTACTAGGACTAAATAATACTGTAAACTACAGTAGAACCTCGATAACTCAAACCTTGGTAACTTAAAAACCTTAAATATTTTGTGTTACACTTAGACTTCTTATCGAGGTTCTGCTGTATTTATTTTATCGCAAGCGATGTCCTAGTTCGCTTTCTTACTTTTTCAATCGACTTGCTGTTCCCAATAAAGTCGATCGAGGCGATAGAAAGGCGTATTGAAACAGCGAGGTACAAAATCAAATTACGCAAGGACGACAAACTTGGTAAGGAATCGTAAATCATAAGGCGTGGATATTACTTTCGGAAATTGAATATCTGCTTGCGCGGCTCCAAATCCGAATTCAACTTTGATTTTCGTTCGCATTCCTTTACACAATTTATTGTTGTTAATGTTTATTTAACAAATTACAATTTTATATGACACGTTATAACTCAACGCACTTATCGAAACACTCATGTTGTCTTTCCTCTTAATCTTTTAGAATTGAACAGAAAAGCGTTATATATGTGTCGCAGGAAGCTATAAATTGACTGTTGCTTTATGTGTAACAAACGTTATTGTCTTGCGTTTTAATATTGTTTAAGATAAAATTATTAATTTAATTCCTTTTTTTTGTATTTAGTTCTTTTTAAAAATTAAAAGTACGTCAACTTGCATACGACCAATAAGAGCAGAGCAAGAGGCTCGAGTGGCCTTTATTAGCTCGAGCGGGGTCGAGGCGCAGTTCAGTGCTTAGAGGGCGACGTTTGTAGTGACATGTTGTGGTGCGTGTTGGCACAGTGGCGAGTCGATTAAGGAGAGTAGTGTAGTAGAAGTACGAACGGTGCCACGAACCCGCTGCTCGGTCTTGCTTGTTGATTTGCTATGTGATAAGTGTAGATTCCTAATTATATTGTGTTAATCCGTGTCTCTAGTGTTTTAATGCTCGCACTTCACCCAAATGACGCCCACGAAACCAAGACTCGGTAGCAATGATGTCGGGAGAAAGACCCAACTCTGACATATGTATCTATGCCAATATTATAAAGAGGGAAGATTTTTTTTTATATCATAAGGTGACAAACGAGCAAGCGGCCACCTGAATCCGCCAGAATGGCGAAGCGACCGCTGCCCATAGACATCCGCAATTGCAGATGCGTTGCCTACCCTTATCCGACGGAGGAGGAGACGCACATAAAGTGGATATTTCCCCTTCCTGTGCGTCTCCTCCACCGTCAAATCCACTTCCCCTTCCCATCCTCTCCTTCTAAGAAAAGGGTGGTAAAGAGAAAGGGATTTAAATTTTTTAATTTCACTCGGAAGTCGAAAGCAATAGCTTTTACAAATAAATCTACAAGAGATTTTTGTTCTCGACATTCAATACCTAGTACCAACGCGGTCCTCCACCTTCAGTATCCAAAGACTCGTTCGCTTTAAGTCTGCAATCTTGTATGGAAGACCCAACTCCTGGTCGTTTTTCCATTCCATTAAGATGATTTAGTGAATGAATGAACTGAAAAATGAATGATTCTGTACATCTGTACTTTGCTGTTTTTAAAATCAGTTGCACCGCTCGTTGCTTTATCTTCTATATAAAATATGTTAAAGGAAACAATAGCTGTACTGATTGCGTTTCCTGAACTCATAATGTTCATATCGTGCAGTTGATGTGCAATAACTATGTTGTCTGAATTTTAACTCATTTTTGTACGTGATAAATTAACGCTATTTAAATTGAGTAAAAACTGAAGCGTGAATGTTTTATGATTTGGGAAAGATGTCTCATTTGATACTTAATTCAAATTTGAAATGAAATTAAGATAAAATAAAAATGATTTAGTCTAAGAATTTGCAATTTGCTGATTTGTTAATTTTTTTTTATAATTGCTG